GGGATCAATAAATGAGAAGAGGAATCAAACTCGTGGCAGATGTGGTTGCAGCGAGAGAAGGGGGAGGCGATACCGTGCGTTGTGAGGTTGATGAGAGGGGTTGAACTACCGCCCGGGCAAGGACAAAAAGCATGAAGAGGGATCTGGTGCTCGTTGCGGCTAGCCCATGGAACGCCGACATCAATACCGCGATGATCGATTCAATTGTTTGTGTAGCCCTGTTGCGTCCTCTTGGTGCTGAGCCCTTTCCGCTGTTTTGTTCTCGTTGTTGTTTGGCCGTTTTTGGCGAGTGTGTGTGTAGTTCTGCACGTGAGAGAACCCCCGTGCACACCGCTGCTGTGGAGTGAGATTTTATTGAGGATGAGACTTGTGGATAAGCTTGTCAGCCCAACCTGAACAGGCAGGCAATCAGTGCGTTTTTCGGTGGGATGGACAGCGAGCGTCATACACTTGTTGCATTATGCTGCCGGCAATTAATGAGAACACGGTATGTGTATGTATACGAACCTGGGTCGTGCCTTCAGGGTAGAGTCGATGCGGCAAGTGCCGAGCCCAGGGAAGAGTGTGATGTCCAAACGGTTTATTTGCCGTTCTCGTACCCAAATAGATATCCCGCTGAAAGACCGAACGAGAGATGCATGAAACAGAAACGCTCACTGAAAGACTTTCCACTCATCCCTTCGAGTGGAGATTGTCTCGAACGGGCAAGTCTTTCTGAGACTGTGTCGGCGAGTGAGAGATTGAAAGCAAACACGGAGACGACGACGAACATAATAAAAACATCTCAGGCAGGAACCGCAGGAGGGGGTCCAACCCCCCCCTCCCATGTGAACCCGGTTGGATCGTCTAGCTGGTAGAAGTGGAGGATAGGGGCCAGAGGGGCAGACGACAGAGTCCAATGATGGGAGAAGAAAAAAATATACTTGTACTTACATATATCTTCCTTCTCTCAAGCGCCAAACAGCACCGAGCGGCTCAGCTACACGCGTGAACGGCGCCAGCCGGTCCCGGTGGTGGTAATTCAGGCGATACAATCGCAAAAAGGTCCGATCGGGGATTCAACTCTCTCGTCTATGACATCTCCTTGACTTCCCACCCATCACTGGTATCGAAAACGCGGCGTTTCCTACCCAGGACTTCCAACGTGCACTTGCGGTTACAGTCAGACAAGACGGTGTTGAAACCCTTCTCGAACAAAAGTTGGAAGACAAGACTCGAAAGCCACCCTCCCTTCCATGTGATCCCGTACCTGAGATCTCCGAGATCTCCGACTCAAAAAGGCAGGAATTGGGGCGGTGGGAATGGGGGTGAACTCATGTAAGTGCATGACGAGGTCATCAGGTCATGGACCTTGCATACGTACATTACCGGGACGGAGCGATATGCCGGGTTTACGCCGGCCCGGGAGGGGGGGGGGGGGGGATGCTATCTTTCGCTCTATGCGTATTACGTACAAGACAAGATATTACAGTAATTCAAGAGAAGAAAAGCCATCATAAGACAACGTTTTGGAGTAAAAAAAAAAAAAGGAACCTCGAAAAGGCAAAAAAAGAAAAGCGACGGGACAAGACAAGACAAGCACGTAACCTTGCAAAAAACAATAATATAAGCAGCGTGGAACCAAGCGCGGCGCAGAGCCTCACAACTCAGACAATATCAGTGCTGGTAAAAAATGGCAGCAACCACGGAATCGCACGGCGGATGGATCCAAACAACCAAAAGACAAGCACACACAGATATTTCCCAACAAAGAAAGAGAGGCCTCACACAGGGAGAGGGGGGGGGCGCGCGGTTGTGAACACCACGCAGCCCGAGGGGGGGCCGCCTCGCGTGGAAGGAGTTCAACTGCGAAGGCCGGCCATGCTTGTCGCAAGGGAGACGAGGGCACCGGCAGGCGGCACTTCGAAGCGCTGTAAACGCGCGCCCCAGAGGCACGTGACGAAAATTCTTGGAAAATTCCACGGCAAATCATGCCGGCGGGAAACGCCGGAAATCCCCCAAGCTAGGTAAAAACATCTATCGCCTCCGAACACATGGCACACGAAAGCTCAACGGTTTTCCACTAGAACGAGACAACTTGACTAATGCACGGGAGCGCGTGGCGCAGCGATCCCTCAGGGATCACGTTCAAGACATAATTCAACTCCGGTACGCCCATTGCTTTGCACTTACTCCACCAACAAACCTCGAGTAAAACCACAGCACTCAGAACCTGTGTTCGATAAATCCGATAGGTACATGACCACCACCTACCTCACACACACACGTGGTTTGGAGAGAGAGCACCAACCGGACAAGTGTGAGCTCAGCAGGATTCAAATCAACTGCAAAACTTCCTTCAAACAAAGCTCACAAGAAAAAAAATGAACCTTTCGGTGTGACGAATTCGAAGAAACACGGGTCGATCGAACCACGACATGATACAGAAAAAATCGTAACCCCAATCCAATCGTGATGATGCTAACTATTTACACATACAGCCAACCCACGGCCAGCTTCATCAATCGAAGGTTGCCTTCACAATCGGGAACTGGCTGTGCGCGTAGAATTCCAGCCTCGCTCTCCCCTTCACCCGGCCCGCCGAAGCACGCTTGACCACCTGCATAGCGACCACCCCGTTTGACACAGCGAGCTTGGCCATCGCCAACAGCTCCAGCCGGTCCGTCGCCCATCCGGCGCCGACCGCATCCACAACCGCGACCGCCTTCGGCGCGTCTTGACCACCGCCGCTGCCGCCGCCGCTGCAGAAGCCACTGCGTGTTGGTGGTGATGCTGCAGCTCCCGCTCCTGACACTTGCTTGGCAGCTAAGTCCCCATGGCGCAAGAGGTCTGAGGCGAGAGTTCGAGCGGCCCAGAAGCACTCCGCTGAGGCATCCACCACTTGTACCGCCTCCCTCTCGTCGAAGTCCACCGCTTCCAAGAACGCTCGGTGGGGTTGAAAAGCCGGCGTCTATATTTTTTCATCCACCCGTCGGAAAAGAACACCGAAACCGGAACCACAAAAGGATAGAGGGGGGGGGGGGGGGGGGGGGGGGGGGGGGGGGGGGGGGGGGGGGGGGGGGGGGGGGGGGGGGGAAGGCTGACTTGAGGAAGAGAGCCTTTTTTGCGACATTTTATTTCAGAGTGTTTACAACGGCGAGGCGCGGATGTAGTCCCTCCGCCCTTCCCGTTGTGTGCGGAGGCAGCTTGTGCATATTTTCTTAGTGAGATTTGAAGACACAACCAAACAGAATATTTCACCCGCCCCCCCCGCGCCTCCCCTCGGTGTTTGCCATCGGGATTCGGTTTTCGTCGCTTGGCAACGACGTCGTAAAACAAGCCAAGTCACTTTGTGAACTCGGCAACAAGGATACCGTTTTTTTTTACCTCCGTTTTTTTTTTGGCGGTGACCATAATGGTGGTCGAGTAGATCATAATGTGCAGGGTGGAGAAGCCTCGCTCCGAACAAGGGAGATCATCGCACCACGTTGTGTTAAAATGGTCAAGCACTCTCGAGGCAGCTATACAGTGCTTACAACTGTCTCTGGAAGTGAAAGCACCAGAAAATAAATTAATTCATACGCAGCTGTCATCCGTACGCAAGGAAGT